CCCGTTTTTCGATATTTTTATTAATTAGTTGAATAATTAATGAATAAAAAGTTAAAAACCGTGTTAGTTTACCATGTGATATTGGACGATTAGAATACGATATCAAAAAACGGATTTCTTACGATTGTTAAAAAAATTGTCCTCTACAATTTGTATAATAGGTAGTTTTGTTGTAAGTCGCTTCAATACGCCGTATTGGTATTACTTGAAGAACAAAAGTATAGTTTTTATTAGTATAAAATTCGGATACGAATAGAAAATATAAAACCGAACCAAATTAAATAATATTTGTCACAAATATAATAATCATTTTCTTATCTGGTTATTTATAAACTATGTACAGGCGCACGGCTGCGATAGCAAACCTGTTTTGACCATGGTGCGGCACTGCCGTTACGCGCGCGGGGTGGTGGTATGAACACCTAGTATCGAGCGCTGCCGCTGGCTGTAACGGGCGCAGCACATGACGGGCGTAATTAAACGTTTTTTTACCGAAAAACATGGTTTCGTACTTCCAGGAATACGGCTTATTGAACCGTTTTACAGTATAAATACTTATTACAAAAATTGTAGAGGAGAATTTTTTCTAGAAACGTAAAAAGCCCGATTTTTGATATCTTGTTCCAATCGTCCAATATCGCATGGTAAATAACCACGTTTTTTTTAACTTTTTATCAATTAATTATTTAACTAATTAATAAAAATATCGAAAATCGGACTTCTTACGTTTCTAGAAAAAATTCTCCTCTACAATTTTTGTAATAGGTATTTATACCGTAAAACGCTTCAATAAGCCGTATTCCTGGAAGTACGAAACCATGTTTTTATGCCATATTTTGTCTACTGTGACATACTCTTAATAGGTGTCGTCTCTCCTTGAAGTCTGTCAAATTATTTAAATCATTACAAGAGTATTTTTTATTTTGTGTATAATTTATCTTATCCATTTGCCATATATTATATTTTATATACTTATTAGTTATTGTGCCCTTAAGTTTATACCTACGAAGATATATTTCTTATAAATATTAAACATAATATGTATATATATAAGGAACGTAACTAATATGTAGAACCCTATTGGCATATCTTACATTAAATCATCCGTCTGAAAGAAAATTGTATAAATTATCAAGATGTCATACTACCAGCTACAGCCAGGACGAAAATAAAATTATTAACATATTTGCAATTATAATAAAACAATTCAGTTCCGACTAACTTCATACAAAGTCATTTTGAAAAAAAAAAAATATAAATATTAAAAATAACACATTTCATGATGTGGATACAATTATTATTTGTCACTTCTATTATTTATACCACCGATTAAATAACAGAAATAGAACTTAATAATTTGATTATGTTTGCGTATGTTCTCATTTAATTATTTATTCGAGTGTGCTGATTCCCGATATCAGTTTTAAATATATAATGACAAAGGTGAGTTTAAACAGAAAAAAAATAACAGAATAAAGATTAATGAATAATATAACGACAAACAATTCACAAAAAAAATGTTATAATATTACATTACTAAAAAACTCAATAGGGATAAAATTAATTTATCCAGGGTCGTTTAAATTAAAATTATTGGCAAAGTCTGTTTTGAGGTCTGTAACTTCCAACTGGTTATTAACCGTTGATTGAATAGAGATTATGTGCTAAGGGTTTAATAATTAATTCCATGTTCCTACTGCAAGACGTAGGGGTGAACTGTACCTAGATACAAACTTAATTAATATTATTTAATTCACAAATATTTGTTTTCTTTCCAATAAGTTCTAATTAATATTAATGAAATCTAATAGTTGTATATTCAGCAATTTTTAAACTATAACGATTATATTGTGTATTTTTAATTTGTGATACTTTGATGTATTTATGCATTTTTGATAAGTTACATTTAACACTACACCGATCATCAAATTATAAATTACACAACATGATTTCACTGCGAAGGCAAATACTTACACATCTTAAAAATCGTTGTTTGACCCACTGAACGAAACGTGTCAGTTTTATGACAAATCATCAGCGAGCATCTAAATTCCAAGTGTCGCTTATATACAGTTCACAGTGGCCTGCACTATGACCAGATGTAAAGACATATAGTGAGCTTTTGTTGTTGTTGTGATTTAGAGCCTCACTAGCGTAGCTGTATATTTTTACGAAAAAAATAGAGAGAATTTCGGCTTACGTTTTATTTCAAAAACTTATTCGTCTACCTATTTAGGATTAAAACGGGAACTTTCTGTATGCATATTGTAGATTATGTACCGTTAGTGAATATTTGACTATACTTGTATGCATTCGTTTTCAGTTTTGAAACTTGAGCAATCTGTTAAATGCTTATACTTTGTACACTTTCAGCAATAGTTTTTTTCTAAACACATTATAATCGTTCCTGAAGTTTGGCAGAAAAACTGGAGAATTTTGTTATTTATCTATAATTGTTGGTATACACTATCGTATACGTCGGTGTTGTAAGTTATGATTCATATATAATATATAATTTAATTAAAATCTGGCATCCTTATCTTATTTTCCGATTAAACTTCATATTATTATTTTAGTTTGTTCATTATAATGTATACCACACACACACAGAGTTTGTATAAATAATATCCACAGATACAATCCAAAAACTTTACAAACGCACATCATGGAATAAAAAGAAAAACAGCTTTTTATGTGCAGTAGACACTCAGACAAATTACGATAATTTCCTTTGAGCCAAGTTAGAGTGTAACTGTGTAACGGACCGTTCTATAATACGTTTCATAAATATATATTATTTTTGTTATAGTAAAATAAAGTGGCGTGTGGATGCCCGTGTTCTTGTTTTATTACCTTCAACGAAGTTATTTAATTTACTTATAAAACTAATAATGTAGGTACCTAAGTGTTCATTATAACAATTATTGTTTTACTTAAATAATTATTTGACTAATATACAGTTAATTTAACTATAGGTTAACTCAGTGAAGTTAAAAGTTATTACACACTTTTTGTTAACTATTTATGAAGTTAATTTGTTCATACAACGCTAGCGTACTTCATTTTTTTTTCAACAAAAAACTAAATTATAGATTACAGTGTTTATACTTCATACAGTATTTCCGTATAAGTTAGATTCAAATGTTATACATTTTTAATTTCAAATTCAAGGTAAAAAATTTTTGACTTGAAAACGAAATAGACCGAAATAGTGAAATATAATAAAATTAAAAACAATAAATTAATTTAACTTATTTCTTAAAATGAAAAATTAATTCGTTAATTTCACGTTAATTAATAAAGATATTTAGTAAGTTAACAGTTAAGTCAATGAAAAGCCAAAAGTAACTAGTTAAGTAAAAAGTTAAAATTAAATTAACTTTTTAACTCGTTAATGCCCAGCCATGCTAATATACTTCTTATAGACTATTAATATAAGGTCTATATTATGATGATAAGTCACAGATAACTAATATAGACAACTTAGAAAAACTTAAAAATAATATTTTCATGTCAATTCTTTAAAAATCTAAAACCTAAGTTTGAATAATCGTTAAAACTATTAATTGTTCCTTAGGTATAAAATAATATATAATTAACTAAATATTACATTAGTAACTGTGAGTATTCAATATTATAACACATAAAAATAATTTATTTTGTAAATAATATAAAATTATTATAAATCATGATTTTGAAAAGGAAAATTAATAACAAAATCCATCGCTCCGCTCCGAACCTATAAAAGTAACTTTTCAAATTTCAATAAGTTATTTTGTTAATTTGTTTTAAATGTTATATATTTTGTACGTCAATATGTTTTCAAATAACATTTTAAATAATGTGAACAATTCAATAATGAAATCTTATTGTAGTATATTTTATATTTTATAGGAGGAATAACTAACACAATAGTATAATACACAACACACATACGATAACACTTAAAATATACCTATATATTATATAGTTAATAATACAACTACAAAGTCACAAATATACCTAAATAATTATTTTGTACCTAATATTTTATTAATTATACCTTACAGTAACAAGTATCGTTTGTAATTTGTATCGAATTGATTTAAATAATGATTTACGATTGCAAAACGATACAGCGGTTTCGAGAAATAAAAAAAAAATCTATGGAGATATTATGATAAAAAAAATATGGGACAGTAAACAAAAATTAATACTGTTTAACAATAAAATATTATATTCGTGAGGTTGATAAAATAAACATTCTAACGAAGTATTAATGAATAAAAATTGATACTTTAAAATATTTTTGTGGATAATATACTCGTCTGTAATTCAGGATATTATACATCCGTGTTGGGCTGGTGGGATACCAAAATGATTCCACGTGGACCAAACGGACAAGCTCTTAGACTATGTGGGTAATATCCGTTCATAATTAAATGATTTTTGGTGCAGACATTTTCATACGATTCACAATTGAACACTTCTGCCCTGTGGATGATGAACGCTGAAGTTTTTAAAAAAGAGGACATTTTCCAAACGGGTACGTGTACATCACGACAATATTTTGAACGGATACGTCGCAGGTTCGTGTCGAAACGGTTACCACAGTTCGACCACTTAGAGTGACGTGTTTATCAAAAGTTGTAGTTTAAATTTTTGTTTTTGTTTTTCCTCCTCAATCGTGTGGCTGCAGGGTTTTAATAGGATTATAGGAATAGCTGCATGTGCATGATCTAATATTATGTACTATTATATACTGTTATGTAAATAATATGGTTTCTATATTAATTATAATGCCGTTATTCCATTCGATTTTACCTCAATGTGTATATAGTAAAAAAGTTTCGTAGGCAATGTACCCTATGCTTACAGAGTTACCAATATGGAAATGGAAATATTGATAGCAAACTAAAACAATTTAACAATAAAAATAACAACAAATCGCAACTATATTATTATTGCTCCTGGAAAATAGCCCTTCGACGAGGTCGAGAATCGGCCAGTCCTAATGCCCCCTAATCGTAGTGTCTGCTACCTCCGTACCAGATCGGAAAGTACGACGATGCGGCCGTGTAACTGTGCATGTTTACCGGCGGCTGCGGCGAGTGTCTCTTCCGGTATTTGCCGGAGACTTGCACGCTTTCGGGAATTTCAAACGGGTATGGCGGCTCCTCGAAACGATATTCCCTCAACGGTTGCTTTTGTACCGTTACCGCTGTTTCGTCAGCAGAGTCAGCCGCGTGGTCGTCCCGGTAATCCCTGTCATCTGTAACATCCCTGCCGTTCCTGTCGTCCCGTTCCTGTGAACGGCTGTCGACATCGTCGTACTGTAGAGGCCCACTTCCATCGTCACGCGGCTCTTCGGAAGGCCCATCCACTTGCGCCGGTCGAGGTGGCTCCAGTTCCGAGCCCGGTACCTGTGGCTGACGTTCCTCGGCTGAACCGCTGTGGTGCTGGCGTTCCGTCGACGCTGCGGGCGCGACGTCCGGCTGACGGTGCACCACCGGGTCGTGTTCGGACGATAGGTGTTGGATGCCGGTCAGATAGGCGGACGTGTCCGACGACGTGGTCGACGAGTACTTGCGGGATAAGTGTTCAACCGGATGATCGGAGCCCTGTTCTTCGGCCAAATATCCAAACGGACTTGCGCCACCCAAGTGGCTCGTCTGATAACGTTCGGGGCTACCACCTCCGCCCAGCTGATTTGCTTGATAACGTTCGGGGCTACCACCGCCGCCCAGCTGATTTGCGTGATAACGTTCGGGGCTACCGCCGCCGCTGACACCTAGTGAATTGGGTTGATAATGTCCGGGGGCGCCAAACTTGGGCACCTGGTCGAAATGGCTGTTGGGTCTGCCACCGAGGTGGTGTTCAGCCGACTGTTCTGCGGACGGTGACAGCCGTTGTTTCTTGTATCCACCCACCGGTTTCGGTCGGCCGTCGAACTGATGCGGTTTCTTGTACTGGCCAGGTTGACCGCCTTGTTTTTCCGTTCGTGGTTTCTTGTAGAACTTGTGCAACGGCTGCTTTGGTCGGCCTCCCACTCCGACTCCACCACCTCCGATCGGTGCGGACTGTTTTCCCGACGCGTCCTCCAAATGGTTGTCGAAGCCACCGCCGAATCCTCCACCACCGCCGCTCCCACCGAATCCACCACCGCCACTTCCCCCGAACCCGCCACCGTCACCGCTCCCTCCGTCGTTGCCTCCTCCATGTCCTTCGTACATGTACTTGACGTGTGCGTTGAATCCATTATGCTTGTCGGCCGTGTACTCGACCACCCTCATGTGTCCGTCCGGTTGCAGAAACGAGTATGAACCATGTACCGTGTCTCCGTCCCGATGCTCCCAGTGGCTCTTGACATCTTTCGTTTTTGGATCGTGCACCCAATATCCGTACTTGTAAAGCGGCTTCACCTGAAAACCGACCGAAAATTCAAATTTTAAACTAATTCACTAATTCACGCGACACCTGCATAAGATAAAATTAGCTTACAAAAACTATACAGTAGATAAAACAGAAAACTTTAAATTTATGCTTACACAAAACTAATCACCTACGTTATTGTTCATTATTATTGTCAGTCAAAAACCGAAAAATACTAATTGTTAAGAAATTAAAATAATTGTCCTTCACATATTGCATCGTTGACCTAAAGTTGATTTGTGTTTTGGTTGGTCAATCTTTGAAACTGTATTTTTATCCTTCCTATATCATGATTTAAGCTAATTGTTTTCATATATTATTATTCAATATCCAATTAATTGATAAACCTGATTTATCTGAATTGTCCACACCATAGAGTTTTTGTGACAGTTAATAAAGTTGTTACTACTAATTTATAGTACTAACAGTACAAAATATTACTTTCACTACCTATTATTATTAATAAATAAAGTTTGATTTTTGTGTACTTACGTGATGATCTTCATGATGTTCTTCGTTATGACCACCATGGCCATCCCCTATCTGCTCGCCGTAGTATTGACACCAAACAGATCTCTGCGCCCATGTCGCAAAAACTAATATTCTGAAAGCCTAGAAAACGAGATATCATTGTTGTAATTGGGGACTATAGTCTACAGTTTACGTAACATTCTTTGTGCTGACGGCTGTATGAGTAAATGGTGAATAATATTGCGCATATCAGAATATTTTTATAGTTTTCATTTATTTTTTGTCAGAGCCCTGCTTAGGTGGGATGGTGGCTAGGGGAGGTGTAGACCGGCCCAACATAATTAGATCCCCATATATTACTGCAATACAGTCATTATATGATTTATTCATATAGTCATATAAATCAACATTAAATAATTACTTATAGACTTATATGGTATAATTTATTTATAAAAATAAATTAAATATAATAAAATGATAAAGCAAACAATTTGAATTTCTAATTTAAGTTTAGGGAACCCACCAAAAAATTACCCTCGGGCCCTAAAATTTCTAACTATGGCTCTGATTTTTGGTTTTAGTTATTAGTTGTTATTCATCTATGGCACAAAAAGCCTATTAATATTTATAAACATGACTCGATTTCAGGAATTTTCAGTCAAGTTTGTTATATAATTTATTTATATTATGCTAACTGTATCTATTTTGTATAACTTCTCAAAAGTTACACGATAGTGCATGAATAACGTATTAATAATATGGTCATTATTAGTTGAAACGTGGCACGTTTGAGAAAATGTATTGATTTTTTTTTTTTGGAAAAAATACTATCTATACTATCTCCTGCGACTTAAATATCATCAGGTTTAATGTTATTATATCAATATTATAATAAACAACACTCTCGCCCACTTCAATATCAGTTTCAAGTTGTAGGTTTGAACACAATGAACCGATATATATATATATATATATTCGTTTATGTCTTTTGTTACGAATAATTTCGAAGCTTTTCTTTCGATGTCTTTATCGATGACGTGACATTGTTAATGTAATAAACATGCAGTGCTTATTCGCGATAGAATGTTAGATAATATTAGTCTCAGAATTTCTGGAACGTATTTCTTTGACACATTGGTAGTTAGCGGTACAATTAATATTGCACTATTCTCGAAAATGTATGCAAAGTAATTTAACATTATAGGTAACTCTTAGATGACTCTTTTCTATCATAAGTGTACCAGGTACCGACCTATAATATTATACAAATATTTTATCTAACGTTTTGGATGGTTTTCTATAAGCTTACATAAAAATCTAATTATAATAATTGTTTAGGATATAAAATGGTCCAATGTGCCAATAAATATTTTCTGGCGAGTACCTACGTGTAGTGTATAAAGTATAAACATATGTTTACACAATTTAACTTGTACGGCTGTATGAAACTTTAACTATTGAACATTAAAACATATTTTAACGTTTATATGGTTTTTAGTTTTTAGGTTTCGTGAAAACCAAATTTAGTTATTCGGTAAATATACTTTTAAATTCAAAGTTTAAATATATTTTCCAAAATTATTTACTTTTAACTCCCATTGAGTATAGTAAAAACAAAAATGTTTATTTTTAATTCAAATATGGACAGTACCTACGTCCTACATATGTTTCAAACTCATTCGGATTTATATCATCATATTATTATGTATTCTCAATTAGGTAGTGATAAAATATGAAATATTATTTACTGTAACCTACTTCTAAAATATAAATGTTTTTGAAAGTTTAGAGTAAAAAATTATTTTTAAACATTGGTATTTGCAATGGTAATAATAATATAGTAATATGGTTTATGAATATTGTAGTTTAGGAAATAAATATGGTCTTTTGATTGAATATTTATGGAATGTATACTGTATAATATTATTATTGAATTATAAATTGGATAAATAGGTACAATATGATGAGTATTCGTTGTATAATAATATGTCTAGCATGGTTATGGTAGATATTGGCATATTACAAGTTCGAGGGTAAGTCTAGACGTCTAGTACTTATATGTTATTTTCAAATCTAAGTGATTTACTGACCGTCATAATATTATTTTCGGACTATTGAAATTCGAAAATAGAAAGAAAAACAATATACCTAATTTATATAAGGGATGATTCTTACCTAGAAACATTAATATAAGAGTACATTATATACATTTTTTTATTTTATTGGCCGAAACAAATTATCAATATATCCTAGTAAGTAAATATTTAGTGACTGGCATATCTATAGACATACATTTATCGAAATTTTGGAATATGTGAAATGTCGTGCATTTATCCAAGTAAACAACTCGTCCGAATACCCTACTATTTGGGTTGAGGTTCATTCAAATGTTACGTCACTTGACAGTAGACACCACTCGAAAAATAACTGTAAATCAATTTTCGATTTTATTTCAGTGCTGACTTTATTTTTGAAGAAATCTTAATATTTTAATATGTAAATTAAAATTTATTTTAAATAAATAAATAATAAATAATTCTAAAATACTTCGTATATTTTTAAATTAATAAATACTGATATAGTGAATAATTTAGCTAACTGGTTGACTTCGATTTAAGTATTAAATATCTAAGGAAAAAAAAACAAGTTTTTTAATTTAAAAACCTTTGTACCATTAGCAGGTCAGAATGAACATATGAAAATACAATTTTTCCATCTTCTATAGTTTATAAAATGCCAACGTAAACTTAAGTTTTTGAATATATATATATAGATTTAGTATATCTTATAATAAATTGGAGTTTTTAATGAGACCCTGTCTAATGAAATATTGTCCAAAATTTTACATCGCCAATATTTTTCTGTAAGGAAGTTTATACAAAACGAACTATAATCTATAGCAATTAAAGAGATTTTTTATCTTAATTTTATTTTTTTTAAAACTTATACCTAAATTTAATTTAATCTAATATAATTATTAAATGTATAGAGCTGAAAGTATTCAAATATTTTAAAACAAATTTAGGTCAACCTCTACCCAAATGTAGGTAGTTGAGAGTTTTAAATAGGAACAATTTTCAATAACAATATTATCCATTGCGTTAGTCGGTAAAGTTAATGTAATCTACTTAAGAGGAGAAAATAGATTAGAATGGAACATAATAAAAAATTGTAATTTTTACTCACATCTATACACGCTATTATATTATGTGATGATAAAAAATATGAATTTAGATTACATTTTTAAACGATTTAGTATGATTACACCGTAGATACTCATTTTCGAGACAAAACTTAAAGTAGGAACTCTGATCAGATTTTTATACCAAAAGAAATATATTCTGAAACTACTTTTCTGTAAATTGTATAAAATATATTTTCTTTTAATTATAATAAAAATAACTCTAATTTTTAAATTGTCTACTATAGTTTGGTAATTAATGAAAAAGAGTTTTTTACGATGTATTATGTATTTTACGCTGGTCAGTAGATCAATAAACTTAACATGACTATTGTAGTCTGCATTGTAGGTATTTTTATCTATAAACTGATTTGATACTAGAGAGGACCCTTATTAGTTATTAATTCGTTTTATTATATTTAAGCTAAAATATCAAATGTTATTACGATTTTAAAATATACCTACATTTTATTTAGAAAGTGATATTCTCGTTATGCATTTAAAATAAATACAATAAAATTATATTATTTTATTGAAAGGTTTAATTCTAAACGAATCTTATAAAATATCTCAAGGAATGTTTTCAAAAGAGTATTTATAATACATTCTATATTATTAAAAAATAAATATTTGATTTAGATGGTATATAATATACTATGGTTGTATATGCAAATAAGTCACTCTGAAATATTTACTCAGTATAATGTAATACAATATGACCCCGTAATAATATACTAAAACAAAAGTAGTTCTAAAATATCTCCAATTTTGTTCGAGTCATTTGTTACGTATTCATCAAAATAATATGTATAATATGTATGATCAAATTACTTACCTATATTTTATATATAGGTATTAAAATTAAGATAATTAATGATTTTTGTTCTAACTTGCAAACTTACGATTTCTTAGGCTATAGGTGGTTGTGCTAATAGTGAAAAACGCGATACATATTAAAAATTAACAGTAGTTATTGTCAGTTGTTAAAGATAGATGTTTAATAGTGAATATTTTGTACACTGCTTTTATCCTAATTTCGGGTGACGTAAAAATATATAAACTATATTATTGTGTGTCATATAGCATCTATATAAACGTAGCTCCAACAAATATTTCGTAAAAAAGTTGAAAGAATTCACCGATAAATGATTTTCGTCGAAAAACGTATTCGATCGCTAAGACAGCAAGATGGCCGCAATTGAAATGGCCGCGTTTTATTGTTATATGTACCCTCGTTTATATAATATTATGTAGTGACTTACCCGGGTTGGTAGTGCGGAGATCATGTTCGTGAGTAGATCGATAGATGTTTCCTCTAAGATGTCCTTAAAATTGTATGCGTATCTCTAGAAGTTCAGTTTATGGCGAAAACGAGCTAGAACTACGGACGGCTTACTATTGGAATTTTCTAGACGTCCAGTGAACTGTCCTAGGATACTGACAATGGTAGTAATAACATCAACCACAACGATAATATACAAATATTACTAAAAGTAACGACAATAAATAATAATAAAAATAACGATAAAGATAATGATAATGTAGCTCTGTACTTTATCTAATAAACAACTACGATTTCCCGGTGTGAAGGTGGAGTGGTCTATGACGGACACTGGCTCGAGACCGTTAATTATGTATTGCCTTAGTTTCCCTCCATTTTTCACTGGCTGTACCGTTTTTCTCTGCCACCAGACCCAAACCATGACATAATAACCGAAAGAGTATAAAAAAAAAAAAATAACAGTAGGATTTATAGGTAGGGAGGTAGGTGTATGCGTGTGTATATAATATTATATTATCCAGTTACGTCTTCTAACATTGTTATAAATACCCTACATTTCCAGCACGTATATATACATATATATATTATATACATTTATTATATCGACAGGTGCGCTGTCGGTAGGTCTACAATGGATGTAGGAATATCATAATATATAAGATATCATATAGTTACACTGCATGCTAGGTGTACCTACCAGATGTGTACCTACATAATATTATTATTGTAAATGAAATCGATTTTCCGGAACGGTATAACAATAATATAATAATATATGTGCCTATAAATATGTAATCTACCTATCTTATGATCGAATGTCATGTCATACTGCTCAGTGTGGTTGTGTACGTGTTTGCTGAACGCATTGCTGCAATACTATTATAATATTTAGATCTAATTATGATGATTATAATTATTAGTAAGTAATATCACAGATTAAATACCTAAATTTAATAAAAATAATACATTATAATTTTTATTATGCAATAAAATGATACACACCAAAGCAGGGGTGGCTAACCCAAATGACCTCCAGGGTCACTTTGGAAAAGCATTATAGTCTCAATGGCCGCATACTAAATTACACATAATATTTGTTTTAGACAAAATAAAAAAAAAAGTTTTGGTGTATAATATTAATTAAAACAAACAGAGTGAATTATTATATTACTCATGATTTATAAAAAAAAATTAATAATATAATAATCTATTTATGAAATGTGTATTTATTTCTCAACTTGTTCACTTATCTTTAGAAAATCTATAGAAATACGTGTATTTGTACATTGCAATTGATATTGCTGGTTTTCGTTTGTTAGGTTTGAGCATAAGTAAATCACGCTCACGTCTTATCACGTTTGGTGAATTTCGTTTTCGAAAAAAAAAACGATCTGAAGGCGTAAATTAATCCAAAAGCATTCACGACTTTTTGAGCTAGTTTTTCAAATTGGAAAATGTTTTTTTGTGACATTAATTTTATATAAATATATTTTTGATTTTGATGTTTTAATTTATTATTTCATTTTAAGACAATTAGTTCAATAAAATTTGTCGATATTCTTGGACCGTTTCGACATCAATATACTATGAAAAGGAAATTAATATAATATTAAAAATATGTTCTTGTATTTGTCTAAACTAGTTAAACGACTCTCGAAAGCAGCTATAAGTTTTCTTATTTCCTTTACATATTTCATGTAATCGATATGTTTTGAATCTTTCAATTAACTTAGCAGTAGATAGTATTTAATCTTTTTTTTTCTTAGTCGAGATTCAAATAACGATAATTTCTTCTAAAATGCATTGATGTGATTAAATATTTAAATGTGTCAATTATTAATTATTTTCCCTGTAATGATGTATTTAATTGGTTGAGTTTTTCGACAATATCCACTAAAAAGCACAAATCCAATATAACCATTCATCATTCCTTAATTCTATTACTGGTCTTTGCTTATCATATTTATATAATTGTTAAACAAGCACATTTCTTAACGTAACTCGTAAAATCGCTGTAAACATTTTCCACTACTTAAACATCTGACATGACTGAAGTACACTACGTCACGATAATCTGAATCCAATTCATTCAGGAACTCCTTAAATTGCTAGTGCGGAAGTGCATGTGATCAAATGTAATTCACTGTATTTATGACTACTACTACTACTTGTATAACATGGTTCATCTGTAATACTTGAGAACATGGATTTTGTTGATGTGACAAAAGGATGAGCTATTGCAATGGGCGGCTTCACCACTCAATATATCACATTGTCATTATTTAATATTATTATCTGTTAAGCCTATTATATACTACTTTATAGTTTATATAATTAGTAATTAACATGCACTGCTACTTAATTATCAAATTACATCAAATCACGGATAGCCGAATACTCTTCACATTGCTACATGTATTATAAATTATAATACGATTACAATAAGTATAATGTTTTAAAATAGATTTAAACGATTTATTCTATAAGTTAAAAATATTTAATAAGTTGATTTACCTGTCCTTAATTTTCCTAAATACATTTCCAAAATTATATTCTACAGCTACTGTTACACAATGTACCTATTTACTTAAAAAGACTTTACTTTTTTAATGTCTATGGATAAGTATTGCTGTAGTAAATAAAAGCAAAATGGTTGATGAAAAAAACGTATTAAATGGGCGCGATACGATTGCGCGCGGTCCTTATCAGCGGTACCTTTTTAAGCGTACGATTGCGCGCGCTATATTATTTTAACTTTTAAGCAACGTTGCCAAATATATAGGTCCATGGTAAATCCGTATAAATTATAGTAGATTATTTATTACTTATTTTTGCCGATATCAGATAAACTTCCCATCACTAAAGAATGAATTGGTTATATTATCAAAAATATTATCTTTATTGTAAATGTCCATACATGTACGAATATACCTAAACTATAATCGTGCATGATATGACTATATCAATTAACTATCAGTTGGGTTCGGTTCTAATAATAGTTTTAAAAAAAAATGTGTTAACTATAATATAATATTATTTATTTTTAGGACTACAAACGGGGCTGAAAGTTTCCATCTATATATATAAAAATGAATGTATGTCAGTGTGTCTGTGTGTCTGTGTGTCCATGTTACCATGGTTACCAAGGTTGCCATGGTTACTAAGGTTACCAAGATTTCATATCAATCTATATATATAAAAATGAATGTATGTCAGTGTGTGTGTGTGTGTGTGTGTGTGTGTCCATATTACCATGGCAACCATATCTGTATATAAAAAACAGTAAGCTGATTGACTGCTATCAACGCACAGCTCAAACCATTGGACGGATCTGGCTGAAATTTGGCATACAGATAGCTATTATAATATAGACGTGCGCTAAGAAAGGATTTGCCAAAATTCGCATTTTAAATAGGTGCTGAAACAGGGACATTGAGATTCACGATAGAAATTGGAAATTTTATTTTTATTTATTTATAGTTGCCATTGGTTACAGTCTACATTAGAAATTAGCATTTATTTATTGGTTGCCATTGGTTATTCAGGCAGATCAGGTACAAGCTTGCATCAAATCGAATTATTGAACAATGCTTACCAGGGTGGCAGAGTTGCACTTACCGCAGAAAATTACACCCAAAAGGAGTTCAACAATCATAATTTTTTTAAGAGTTGCGATTTTTTACGAGCAACCAAATTTATTATATTAATCCACAGTATTACATCAAAATAAACTTGGTATAACTTTGATACTTTAGAGTTAAATCATACACTTCCGTACAAACAGCACGGGGTCCGCGATCTACCGCAGGTAGATTGCCTACCTGATAATGTACTGCTGCGATTCAGAATTTTTATTCAGGGCAACGGGAAAGATAAGATAAATTTTGAACACCATACACCGAATATTGAATAATGAATTGAACAAAGTTTGAGTAGGTAGTATTGAGTTGATCCATTTAACGGGCGACGAAGTGCACGGGATCAGCTAGTAGTACATATAACGCACAGTTTAATAGTGCTCATCCACCAATATTTTTTGTTATAGCTACCCTTATGGAACCTCAGGCAGAAACAGTTACCAAATTATTAACCATTTCCAAAGGTATAATAAAACCAAAATCGAATGAAGAATCAAGGAAAATTGAAAATTTGAAAAATGAACACAAACATTATGTAAACAATAAAACACCAGAAAATTTACTAAAGTATTTGGCCATAGTTGGAAATAGGTATCGGGGGTTTAAAATTTAATATAAATATTGATTTACGAGTATTATATTTTTTCAATTATTAAATTTCTTTATTTTGTATTATTTTTTTTTAACTTTTTTATTTTTTATTATTTACGTTAATTTTTTAATTTTTTTTTAAATAACATTTTTTTTATATTATTAACTTTTTGTATTTTTATTATTTACGTAATACATTTGGCAACGTCGCACCCAATTTCACGCGCAATCGTACGCCTTTGAGTAATTAAAATGTTGTCTTTTGTTATTCGGGCACTGCGCGCAATCGTATACCTAAAAAGGTAAAACGCGCGCAATCGTACTCCGCTGTATTAAATCTGCTAAACAGACAACATAAAGGAAAATATAACAATAGATTATCACAAAAAATACTCGGAAAATGAAAGAATCAACAGTAGCTATATGTATTTAGTATGCACTTGATTGCTGATATTACAGCAAACTGGATAATTAGCGGAAGCAGGCAGATTCCATGGAAATATAATAACTGAAAGGTACTTTTTACTTTGAACTACGAAAATATGGACAGCGAAAAAATACATTTAAGTACCTATTAACTAATTTTTGTAGACTACCTAATACATTTTATTTTACAGTATATTTTTACAATTTAGCAAAAAAATATAATATGAATATTAATATTATTTGAATTTTATAAATCAAAAAATAAAGTCTTCATGCATTAATTTACTTATGCATATAAAAACAATAGGAGTTGAATAGTTAATAATAATTTGTAACGTACCTAGTTTAC